GCGCGTCGCCCCACAGCCGGAGATTAGGACTTCGGAACTGCCGGCTGTGGTGAGTGGAAAAGACACTCCGTCTGTTTCGCCAGCTCGAATGACTGTTTATTCCGGGGCTGTGTTTGTTGAGCCAGCTGCCCAGCAGGTAGCTCAGTTAGCCGCCCAGCAGCCACTAGCTCTGTTAGCCACTCAACCGTCACCTCCGTTACAGTCACAGCCAGACCTAATAGACACTTGGTTACACTCAATAGCTCAGTTGGAAAGAGACTCATCAGCTTTATTATCTACCCAGCCACCTATTCAGCCATCATCTCAACCAGCTCCGCCTGTACTACAAGTCGAGTCCATCCAACCGGAAAAGCGCTGTTTTACACCTGTTCATGTCAAGCAGAGAGACACACCACATAACGCAGTTGTCAGTCCGCAACAGCTGGCCAGCCCAGGGACTGTGACGCACTCCAGGGCCTCCCCAGAGGCTGGGTCCCAGCCCCTGGCCGACTCTGGACCCCTGGAGATTATGAAGCCGGCTGAGGACTGCATCCAGCTGTCGCTGCCTGAGCTGGGTCAATGCTCTGTGCAGCTGCAGTCTGCCTTGTGTTTGCCAGAGGCCCGTGCGCCTGCTGGTTCTGATCTGTTCCTGCCAGAGGCCCGTGCGCCTGCTGGTTCTGAACTGTGCCTGCCAGAGGCCCGTGCGCCTCCTGGTTCTGAACTGTGCCTGCCAGAGGCCCGTGCGCCTCCTGGTTCTGACCTGTGTATTCCAGGGGCCCCGGTGCCCACTGGTTCTGAGACTGTTTTAGCTGGAGGGCCCGAGGAGCCCGCCCAGCTTCCTGCCTCGTCAGCTGGAGGGCCCGAGGAGCCCGCCCAGCTTCCTGCCTCGTCAGCTGGAGGGCCCGAGGAGCCCGCCCAGCTTCCTGTGTCGTCAGCTGGAGGGCCCGAGGAGCCCGTCCAGCCCCAAGCCTCATCATCCTCGCCAGCTGCAGCTTCATCCACGCCGCGGGCAACAGCAGCTTCTTCCACGCCTGCAGCGCTACAGTCTCCGGCTTCCACGCCGTCGCCTGCTGCAGCCTCATCATCCTCGCCCGCTGCAGCCTCCGAGCCTTCATCCTCGCCCGGTCCAGCTTCAGCTTCAGCGTCGCCCGGTCCGGCCTCCTCATCCACTTCAGCTTCGTCCTCATCTGGTGCAGCCTTCGTGTCTTCACCCACGCCAGCTGCAGCCTCCCTGTCTTCACCCACACCGTCGCCTGGTCCAGCCACTGCTTCATCCTCGCCTGGTCCGGCTCCAGCCTTCGTGTCTTCAGCATCGCCTGGTCCGGCTTCTGCTTCGCCTGGTCCGGCTTCAGCTTCACCCACGCCGTCGCCCGGTCCGGCTTCAGCATCATCGGCTTCGTCTGGTCCAGCTTCAGCATCATCGGCTTCGCCCGGTCCAGCATCTGCTCCAGCATCCTCATCGCCTGGTCCAGCATCTGCTCCAGCTTCAGCATCGCCTGGTCCAGCTTCAGCCTCGTCTGGTCCAGCCTCCGCTTCAGCTTCAGCCTCGTCTGGTCCAGCCTCCGCTTCAGCTTCAGCCTCGTCTGGTCCAGCCTCCGCTTCAGCTTCAGCTTCGTCTGGTCCAGCCTCCGCTTCAGCTTCAGCTTCGCTGGTCCAGCCTCTGCTTCAGCCGCGCCTGGTCCAGCCTCTGCTTCGGTCTCGTCTGGTGCTGCGAAGGCCACGCCACCTTCGGGTCCCGGACTGCCGCCTCGACATCAGCGGTCGTCTGTCGGGCCGCTGGTGGAGCGTCAACGTCGATATGGACGACCTCCTAGACGCCGCCGTTGCCTTCCGCGCGGTCGGCCTCCAGACTTGTGTTATCGCCGCCGTTGCTGTCCGCACGGTCGGCCCCCTGAACGGTTTCCCTGTCGCCGCCGCTGCCGTGTGCACGGTCGGCCCCCTGAACTGCCTCCGCTCCGCCACCGCTGCCTTTCGTTCGGTCAGCTTTCGGAGCTGTGTCGCCGACGTGGCCGGCCTCAGAAGATGAACTGTCCTGGACTTCTGAGCTGTCAGCCTCCGGGCCGGCCTCCTGAACTGTGTTTTTGTTCTTGTACTCCGGCATGTGTGTTTTTGTTTTGGACAATCCTCGCGGTTCGCTGGAGCTTGTTTTGTTCGGGGTTGGTCCCTCCGTCCTGGGCCCCCGCCGCCCGCCCTGGGTTGGTCGTTTGTTTTTGTTTTGGGCTGTCTGGAGCCAGCCCTTGTTGGGGGGGTACTGTCATGGTCCTGGGTCGTTGACCCAGCATTTTGTGTTTATTCTGATTTGTATTAATTTAGGGTTGAATCTCTAGTTTGATGTTTTGTCAGCCCTACCTGTGCCTATCCTTCATGTCCCCGTGTTGTGCTGTAAAACAGTTTGGGTGTTTCCTGTTTTACTTTGTAGGTCTGTGTCTCGTTATGCCCATTAGTTCCAGCTGTGTCCCCTCCTGTGTGCCATTTCCTGATTACCTGGTGTGTGTATTTATAGTTGGTGTCTGCCTGTGCTCCTTGTCGGCTCGTCTGTGTTACTCCGTGTAAGTCTGCATTCTTCCGTGTATCTCTGCGTTCTATGGTGTTCCTGTCTCTGCGTCTCTCTGCCCCGCACCCCTTTTTGTATGGTCTCAGGTTTGTCAGTTAGTTCTCCCAGTTTAGGTTTCTTCAGTTGTTTGTCATGCCTCACTGCCTGCTTCTGCCATTGTCACTTTGTGAATAAACATCACTCGTATCATCAGTCACTGCTGCATTTTGGGTCCTCCCTTTCCTCCACACCACACGGCTCACTCCGCCAGCCGTGACAATCTCAGGAAAAAAAAGCACCGAAATAAAACACCGAAATGTGCGCTGCTTTTTGGTCTGGTTACTACCGTTTATGTCAGAACCGGTGCCATTATGGCACAAGGATTGCAATAATTGATTACATTTAAAATTAGTATGACTCATGCAAGCTGAGGCCTTACTGTGGAACATACAAAGCGGTGCGTACACAGCAGGTGAGGCTGCACATCATCTAAAAATCCAACACAGCTATATGATTGTCCCGCTAATAAAGAACTGAAAAAATAAAAGACAGAGATAAAACATCTATTAAAGGTGATAATCTCAGAAAAAGAAATGGCTGTGATAATATACCTTTAATCTATTTGTGAATGCGTAAGCAATTACATAAAAGCAAGCCAAAAACAGCATGACCAACAAGTAACAAGTGGAGGCAACAAATGACGCAATGTAAAGCAAGAGCTGGGATTAGCTGCGAGTCATTTCAAGGCATTACAAATACTCACAGCAGCTTGTTTCTTCCCTGAACTGTTTGCACACACGTTCCCATTTCTTTTACATACATAGACACACGTTCATTTCAATATCTTTCATTTATTAAATAATTTTTTTATCATTTAAAAGAAATGCAACATACACTCATGGCCACTTTATCAGTTACTTCTTGCTAATACTGGGTTTAGCTCCCTGTTTGCCTTCAGAACAGAAGCATGTAATTCTGCTTGGCATTGATGCATAAAAAGTGGAAATCTATGTGGGAAGATTCTGTCTAGATTTTGATCAATATTGCCACAATAGCATTAAGCAGCTGCTGCTATTGGTTAAATATCCATGATGCAGATCTTCCATTTTATCATATCGCAAAGATGCTCAATTAGTTTGGGATCTGATCACTGTGGAGACCATTTGAGAACAATTAACTCATTGTCATGTTCAAGAAGCCAGTTTGAGAGGGTTTGATAATGTGTGACCTGGTGCATTATCTTGCTAGAAGCACCATCAGAAGATAAGTACACTGTAGCCATAAAGGAATGGACATGGTTAAGAAACAAGACTCAGACAGGCTTTGGTGTTTAAATAATGCTCTTTTAGTACTAAGAGGCCCTGAGTGTGACAAGAAAAATACCTCATCATTGTACCACCATCATTAGAAGCAGCTCTCATGTTGTTTACCCCAATTTACCAATTTCTGACTCTACCATCCAAATGTTACACCAGAAAATGAGACTTAGCAGATGAGGAATTTTTTTTCCAATGTTCTATTTCCAGTTCTGGTGAGAACTGTAGCCTGAGTTTCCTGTTTTTAGCTGAAAGGAGTTTAGCCAGTGTGGTCTTCTGCGGCTGAGACCCACCTGCTTCAAAGTTTGACGTGCTGTCAGAGATGCTCTTATAGAGCAACAACAAATTTGGATCAAATAATAAGTGGTTCTATCAGCTTGAAACAGTCTTCCCATTCTTCTCTGACCTCTGAAATCAACAAGGCATTTTTGCCCTTAAAACTGCTGCTCATCGAATATTTTGGCTTTTTTAACCGTTCACTGTAAACCCCAGAGATGGTTGTGTGGGAAAATCCCAGCAGATCAAGTCTCTGAAATACTCATATCAACCCATTTGCCACCCTCTTTGGATGTTAAAAGTCCACTCAATGGACATTATTAGCAGCAAAAAGGCCCATAAACCACCTTTTATCTGCATTCCACAACTTCAACAAGTCGTCATGACTATGACTACATGTCTAAATGTCCTGAGTTGCTGCCACATGACTGGCTGATTAGATATTTGTGTTAACTGCCAGCTGAAATGGTGTAACTAATAAACTGCACATTGATTGCGCACTGCTTGTAACAGTCCCTACTGCCTATATTCTAATTTTATTTATTAATTTTTTAATCCAAAACCAATTCATTTACAAACATTTTTCACGCATTTATTTATTTAGTTGTTTTTTGAGGGTGGTTATTTTATTTTATTCTTATTTTTTTAGAATCCTACTCTTTCAGACAGACTTTTGTCAGCATTTTGAGGGCATTATGCTACCTCAGGGAGCCATGAGCACCTTTAAATTAAAATACAGACTGTCTTGCTTTGCATTGCTATGTTTTTCCCATAAACGCTACAAAAATACATATCTATAAATAAGTGCAAGAACTTGAACTAAGCAACAAATGCTGTTACAGGTGTACAGTAGCTGGCTGCTGAGTTGAACTAAATGAGGTTGTGTGCACTGCCCCTTTAAGAATGTAGTCAAAACAAAGCGTGGACTGGCCGGCCGCACGGAAGTGGTTTTGTTTCGGTGGTGAGCTACAATAATATATGAGAAATGAGAGGTGCTACGTTATTAAAACACAACTAGGTCTCCTAAAAGTTTTTGTTTTGTATTTCTTCAAGAATATTTTATTTTTCATTATTTTTTTTATATCGCTCGAACTAAACGAGAGATAGCTAGTTAGCTTTTTTTTAAGCTAGCTTTATTATCGCAAGCAACCATGCCTTCCTACAGTGAACTAAGGAAAACCAACTACTTCTACTACTTCATCAAATTTACCTTAAATATCTACTCAATGCTCTTCTCGGTAAGTTTCTGGTTCAAAAATTAATGTCAGCCTTGGTAGTAAGTTCATTTGCGCTGCAACAGTGTCTGCTAACTCAAGACCCTAAGCATCCAGTATCATCGCCAAGACATCATTCCAAAGATCATTGAAAACACTGGTGTTTCAATATATACCACCTGCTGTAGGGTCATGTGTATTTTGTAGCATATAACTTAAGCCATATTGCAAAAATACACAATCTACTATGGAATTCGGCATATATCACTGAACAAAGATAAATGGTCTTTGAACTGTAATTTGAATGGAAATCACTGATTTTCCTTGTACACTAGCTAAATTCCACCTACATATGGGGCACAGCTTCAGATTGGATATATGTGTGATCAAACTGAAAGAAACTGTATTGTTCGATAGCACACTTTCCACATTTACTAAAATATTATAATTATTAGGAATTTAAGAGTTTCTAATCACTACTTTGTGTTGGGAAATGTAGAATTAAATTGGGTGTGTTTTTCCAATGGCTTTCGGTTTGGAATTGTCTGGATACTAGCTAGCTGGTTACGTCTGCGGAAAGACATTTTCCCATAAGGCCCCATGTATCGTCCCAAAGCATAACCTGTTATAACACCTGCCTTTTAAATAAGACAATGCCGAGACATTCATTCCTCAATTTGGCATTAAAACAATACACCGGGGGCTCTGACTAACAAACAGCATCGTGGTGCAGGGCGTTGGATCCAGTTAAAGGTACGATGACGTGAGTAAATAATACGCCGACAGAAAATCCGGCGCCGCTGATAGATGCTAATTCTTTTACTTATTATAATTCCTAATAATACATCGTATCATTTGTGTAATGCAGGTTAAATCCAGAAATTGTGTTTTATTCATGTTCATTCGATTATCTTTATTTAATCATCGCGGTTGTACAAATAGTTTAATGTACATAATAACATTATTACACACAGATTATTCAGTTTATTACTTTAAGGTGAAGGAAGGTGAGCAAACAGAAACAGATTTCTTTGACTCCTAACTAGCCCAGTAGATAAATTGACTAATTTAAATTTTATCAATGTAAACACTGACATAAAGTTTCATTAGGATGGTCACACTTATGCAAAGGTGACATCAAAATCTGACATTTCATTATTGCATGTCCAGCTCTGTTTTAGTAAGTTGCACTTAACCATTTAACTTTAGTTTTAGCTGCAGAAGTTCTCTATCCCTGCAGGAATTTTGGCAGCTTAATGAACAATCTGCTTGAATTTTCTCGTGTTATTCCTTCATAAAGTGGCTGGTGATAATTAAGGATCTGGCAACCACTTAAAATGCTGGAAGAGTCCATGAATGTCTTGCAAGGGCATTAAGAAGTAAAGATGAGTCATTCTTAGCACGTGTTTTTTTCCCCCTGCCTCCCGGCATCCATAACCCCTCCTCAATATCACTTTGAATTCCAGAGCGAATGTTAGAGTAATGTTCAGTTTGCACCACAGCCAGCTATATATAAGCTATAAGCTTAACTTGTTTCCATTAGCACTGCAAACTGACGTTCATCTAGTCAGCCTTCACCTATGTCTCTCTCTTAATGCTTAATTATTAATTATTACAGTCAAACACGCAGAGAATTGTGTGAATGTGTCACTGTTTTTGGTCCCCTCACAACCCAATGTGGTTTTGGGGGTTTGTGATCCATTTGTGTTAACTCTCTTATCTTCTTTACTTCTGTGAGAAAGGTTAGCGCTGATATTGGAAATAAGCCAGATGTACAGGATCTGCCAGTGCTTTATAGATGGTTGTGAATTGTAATTGGAGCTGAAGTAGATGGACCCTACTCTTAAAGCAGATTGCCTCTGTTTCCAAATGAAAATCAATAACAGGGAAGCAACTACAGGTTGGTCCTTCCCTTTTTCTACCACTTCCATTAGTTAAACAACCCTCTATTTTTCTCATATGTCAGCAGAAAGTAACAAGTAACTAATGAAACTGTCTGGACACCAAAGTGTAAAGCAAGGGTGTGACTATGGACCTGGGGTTGTTTGTTATTATGTAATGATGATCATTATGTTTCACCAGCATACATTTTTGCCCCTTTTTCTGTGCCCCTTACAATCCTTTCACATTTTCTTGCTTTTATCCAACATTATGTGAGCAACGAGGGCAGCTCCAGCCCATTTATGGGTTTGTTTACAAGAAACCAAAGCTTCTGAATCTGTACATTTAATAAACTGGGAGATTATTTACTTTAGATTTTATCTATAAAGGTCATATCTCTTAGGAACGATTCCTAAATCAGCCATACAAGAGAATTTAAGCAGTAAAATGAGGCCATCATCACTGATATTGCGTAATGCAGATTGAAAATGTCTGAAGGGAGCATTTCTAGCTTTGTGTTACTGCAGCAACAATGTAATTCTGCTCTCATTTGATTTGATTTGATTGCACAGAGGGACAAAACAAACTGAACGCAGGCTAAAAGATGCTCCAGTGTTTTTGCTGTCCCTGTAGGATTGGTGGTGTTGTTTATCCAAACTTAAAATACACTGGCTAATCTCTGCTTTTAATTAGGGTTCGAAGTCTGAAGGGCTGGTATTTGTTAGTATTTGCTGTGAGCTGGGATGGTATAGAAGAAATGAAACACGATGGCACGGTGGGTTAGAACTGTTACCTCACAGTAAGGTCGTCGACCAGGTCGACTCCATCTGCTGACCAATCGGTCTGTGGGCCGCAGTTGTTGGTCAGCTAGGTGGAGAGAAGAGTGAAGTTGTATCATACAAAGAGCTGAAGTGAAACCAAGAGTTTAGAAACAGTAAAAAGTGTCACTGTAGCCACTATGTGAACCTTTCATGCCTTTTCCCAGTGAACTCCGCTATAGCTACCTTCTCTGTTTCGGCCCACTTGTCAGCCACTCAACATTTAGCAATCAATTACGTCATCTACTTCAGCAACCCACACTCAGGATCTTGGAGGACTGCACAGGAGCACATCTCGGATCTCCCCATGCGTCCCCCCCTCTTTGTCCGTATGCAGACGGACACATTTGCGGGACTGTAAATCCCGCTTAAATGTGAACGGTTGTCTGTCTTTCTGTGTTTGTCCTGTGACAGAATAGCAAGATCTATGAAGCTTTTCACCCTATGATAGCTGAGATAGGCTCCAGCCCCCTGTTAAGGATAAGCAGAAGAGAATGGATGGATGAATTGATGAAAAACGAGCCTAAATAGGCACATGGTGCTGTAATTGAGGCCTAAAAATTCAACTATCAAAAGTAATGCAAAGGACATTTTAAATTATCTTAAAATTTCACCCAGAAGTTTTATTCAACATGCTTGACAAAAAAAAAACAAACTCTCTCTTGCACTCTTTCTTGGTTTTAATTAGAATTAGAATACTTTGTTAATCCCTAAGGAAATTGTTTGGTTACAGTTGCTCCAAGACAATAACAGTAACAAACTGAACCAAATTAAATAATATAATATATTACAAAGTTTACAAAATATAAGAAATAGCTCTAATATTTTCAAAAAGCTCAATTACAAATATCCATAATATTGCAGAGGTGAAATATACAGACTGACATTTTACTCTACCTGTAAAACTTTGTTATTTTACTGTAGAGCATGTTCAGAAGGGTTTAACTGTTGCACTGTGTACTGTGCATTAGATGGAGGAGTTGTGCAGGGAGCCACAGGCAGGAATGATTTCCTGTGTAGTTCAGTGGTGCATCTCAGTCTCTCACTGAATGTGCTCCAGTGACCAGCCAGCACGTCATGGAGTGGGTGGGAAGTATTGTCCAGCATTGTCCTTATTGTGGACATCCGCCTCTTAAACACCAGACACATAACATTAATCATGTAATTACATAATTAATTAACATTAATTATGTATGTATTGCAGTCACTTCTTTGATTTTGACTGCGTCAGCACTAGGGCTGCCACGATTTGTCGACTAGTCACGATTACGTCGACTAT